CCGCATTGGTGCGTTTTTGGAACAGTCCAAAACCGTTCACCCCCACGCCACGATGAGGCTGCGGATAGGATTTGTGGGGGGGGGGGTAGTTTTGATAACTGCTGTTAAACGCCCCAGTGCGCGCTAAGTAATCCCAACGCGACTCGAATCCGCATCTCCCGCTTACCGGGCTTTTGCGTTATCCATTAGGCAGCGTTCATGCTTCGCGACAGCACTGGATCGCCGCGATCGTCAATACGCGACAGAGCGCGCCCCAACGCTATTACTTAGACCGTTCCGAGTGCTGTTAGAAGGAATTGGCTTAATTTCCTGCTTTTTTTTATTTTGATTGCACTTCACTTAGGTGCTGAAGCTTGTTTTGACTCGAGGAAAGGTTAATGGCTTTTCTATTTTCTTTTCTGATATAAAGGGGAACCCTGCTCCTTCTATTCCAGATGCTCTTAAGTAGAGAAAGTCCTGAGTTTCCAGCTAGTAGCATCAAGAGAAAAAAGGTATTACAAGTTGGATTTCCATATTCATCAAAGCGAGCAGTCCAAGTAATAGCGCTGGGGCGCGCTCTGCGGCGCAGCGACGTGCTACGACGGCTGGTGCTGCCGCGAAGCGTGAACACTGCCTCACGCCACCGGGGCCAATCTTGCTGTCTTAGCTCAATGCCAATCTAAAAAAACTAATAAAACAGTTCTTCAGTTTCTTCTGTGAGCCTTGATAATAGAAGAATTTATGGTTGATATGTTCAGGTTGATTTTTTAAGCTTCTGCGTAATGCACAAAAAGCTAGATCGATACCTGTTCTTTTCTAGTTGCTCAAAACAAAGTGATGCAAAGTATGCACGCACTCCATAGTTTCTCATACGCTCGAAACGCTTAGGCTGCGTTCAGACTTTTCGTGAGGTTTTGGGCGTTTCGAGTCGTTTCGAGTCTATTTGGAACCTCTTTTTTGACAGTATAAACAGCTTCTCTTCAGATGTTGCCGTATGTTGTTTGGTCGTCGCCGCGTATTGCATTCGCGTACTGTACGAATCGGCTATGGTCCAGTGGGCGGCGACCATGGAGCTGGTTTCGCTCCGAACAAAGTTTCTAATCAGAAGTACAATATCTTCAGCTTTGTTCCTTTGGTATGCTCTTTTGCTTACCACACTTGAGCATATCTTTATTTCATGTGTTAGGAGGTTTTTGTATGAGTTTTCCGACCATATCAATTTCCCGCTGTTTAACTTGGTCATTTTCAGGTGTTATTCCAACAATTCAAATTCTTTTTGAATCTGTACTTTTTGTTAATGGCATGCAGTCAGTTTATACCTGCTATCCAAATCGGCGCACCCATCACCTATTGGGGTCCACTCGTAAGTTCGATTTGTATGCTGGATTTACATATGAGTGTCTACTCTCTTCTGCTTATCTTCGCAAGTCTTACCAAGTAGTGGTTTCATCTTCCCATGAAACTGTGAAAGGGACTCAGCTCCATAGATAGATTCTGGAGTGCTAATTGCAAAATTGGAGATCAAAGGTGCTTTGGAGGTCTTTGAAGCAAGTTACGAGAGGTCATATCTGCTGGAAGTGGAATCTTGGCGCATGCTGTGGTGAATAACGTGTCATTCAGTGCAGTGGTAGCGTAGTGTTTAGAATCTTGCCTCGTGGGCGATGCGAGTTAGGTTTGTTACTGTAGACCAAAGCCTGTTTATCTTCATGAAACGCTCTTGCTACAGTTCTTCCGTTACTTCATATATGAGCCGAGCCACAGCATGTAATTGTCACTGGAGATCAAATAAAGAGCTGGACTTTACTTATTCCGAACAACCCGACATCCTGAAATTCAAGTCGACCGGTCAGTGTGGTCAGAAATCTGTGGACAAAGAACACGGAACAAGGTGACTATCATAACTCGATACCACATTCATTTGGCTTGAGGCTGCGCCATATCGCTGCTGAGACATAGTGAACAACCAAAACACTATGGACCGTCTGCTTAAAAATTACACTGGTATTTAAGTTCCCCTTGTGTGACTATATTAGGTCATCCCATTCAAAAACGTGGACATTTTATTCTAATAAAACGAAGAGGAAACAGAAAAAAAATACTTTGGCTTTCAGTTAGCATATCCCACTTCATCAATGACTCGCTTCCAATGCACCGGGAGCGTTCAGACCTCTGGCACCTCGTTTTTTCAACAAGTGCGAGTGAATTGCTCTTGGTGCCAGTTTCGGCAAACGACAAAACGTCGTAACATTTGCCATTGGACAGTATCTTCGATCAGAACAGGTATAATGGCGCGGCTGTAGGTCGGGCCGATAAGGCGATTGAACTCAGCTCTCAATCTTGTTTGTTCCGAGCACTGCGATTACTAGGGGCCTTGCACTGTGACGAGCAGTGATGGTCTTCTTCTAGTTGAGAGGTACCATACATTTGTCGATCTGATTGTCGAGGAACGGGCAGCATACACCGACATGACGGTTTTGTTCTCTGTATAGCCACACTGCACGAATCTATTACCATAATAATTATCCGCTTAGGCGACGTAACTCCCTATGACAGGACTCGGGTTGCTTCCAATTCATATAAAATTAACACTTGTAAGTTTCGACTCAGTATATAAGACCACCCACATTTTCCCTAGCACCACGGTGCGCTCCACAGTTGCGACGTCTTATGTGAAGTTTACTGCTGCAGGTATCGAATCTTCCGCGTTCGTGCTTCTACAAGAAAATGAGGTTCACTCAAACTCTCTCGTGCACCCTTCGGACATAGTTCCGCTCTCGCGGGCAAGCTCGCTATGTCTAATCCCTGTAGTCAGACATTCGACGCTTGACTTCATTCACTCGTTTCCCTTTTGCAGGATGAACATTATGCACTTCTTTTTTTCGCTGTTCGTTGAGCTGCCCACTGTCCTTATGACGCCCGATTCGAAAATCAGCGGTGATTCTGACCACAAGGCTTTCTTTTCAACTTTTCTGAACTTATTCCTTAGTTAGGTTAGCCAGAGTTTACTTATACGTAGCTAAAAGTGACCAGCTTTCAAACTTGTAGAGGCCCTCCGCTATGGTCGGTCCACTTTCCTGCCATTCCTCTGTATATTCCTCCGTTTTTGAATGGGATGCCCTAATATCACTCACCACCGAACGCCAGTTTTATGGATATCAGTGCTAGCTCCTGCGGCAGAGGAACCAGGGTTTCCACGCCAAATGGATCTGATATCCGTATTCAGAGGGTTGAAGACAGCCCCGCGCTCGAGTACTACATGGTCGTCGATCCTTGTGCAAGTAGTACAGCCCCCAAGCTAGACACTATCCCACTCTCGCGACTCCACGAGCGAGCTACAGCCGCTGAAAGTCCTAGTTCTAACGCCCGCCCAGTTGGACCACCCACTTGCTAGATGCCCTCCGACGGGGAGTCGCTCAGTCGTTCTTTGTTGGGGCGGCGGGCACTAACCTGAATTGCGTGCCCTTTTTGTTGACGCGCTCGTGCCCATAAATGCTTCTGCTCTCCTTTATTACGTCCTATTCATTAGAAGCACATACAGTCAACTCCAACTCATCTTGCAAGGTGAAACGTGTAAAAATCACGAGCGACCGAATTTTCGTGGTGCAAAAGCTCGATGATCACACTACACTGAAAGATGCACCCTACCGTAACCCAAAATTCAGACGCCTAGTTTTCGAAAGTTTCTTTTCCTTTTCAAGGGTTTTTCTTCCGTGTTTTTGTTGTTTTTCGTATTCCTTTCTTTGCATTGGATGATACCCACCACTGGGTGATGTGATAAAGGAATTTGTGAGCCAGGGGTTGCACAGAGACCGCAAGGGTGACTGTCAGGGAGCGATTTTGCTTATAGTGTTCTTGAGGTCTCTTCTTGCTTTTTTTTCTTCTTTGGGGAATTTCTTATCAGCTACTGTTTCATAATTGAAAGACAATGATACTTATCGCGGGAGCTGCCTTTAAATTACTCGCGGGAACATATTTCTGACTAGATTCATATTCCGACTAACACTTCAAAATACAGTGTCGTGCAGGCTAAGTGGTGCACAACTCTTTGCTTAATCTTGACTCAACTCCAATATAAGCTCACCGAATCCCTGTTCGTTTTACTTGCTCTTCGTCGACCCCTAGTCGAAGATGATGGAATTTGGGGCAAAAGCTGATAGTGAAGTTGAGAGCAAAATTTTTTGCGTCTGCGGAGAACAAGTTGTGCTCGTGTTTATGTGAGTCTTACCAGTAGGCTATCTGCAGCTCACCATGGCTTATGTGCTAACACTTCATTTCGTAAATCTGACCACTCATAGCTTGCCTAGGGGACCCCCGTAGCACTCTTAATCTCGATTTTGGCAGTCAGCATCCCACACTATCGATGGAGCTAGATCTCCTTTCGAAGTTTCATGGGAATTCGAAACCATTCCCTGGTCTCTGATCTACCTGATGGTATTTCTCTGTTCCCTTCCTCTTCTATCTCCCTGCTACAGCTTAACAGTTTCTTTGTGAACAGGAGTGTATAAAAAGGAATGTGAGCAGTGATTTGACAATTTCATTCAGGGTTTTGTCTTAACAATTACCTTGATCCGCGAAGCGCTCGATGATTTTGTTCGCTTCCTGAGGGATAAAGAGTTGAATGGTGAGAAATATGAGCGTCTGACCAGAGATGGTACGCGTGTTGAAGTTAACAGCAGGTAGCTTATGTTCAGGCTTTTATCTGTGGAATATTCATTCATGCATGGGTTTTTTAGAGTACATAGTTTTCTTACTTGTTTTTGTGCTCTTTTAGAGCCACCAAAATCTTAGTTTTGCGTCAAGTGTTCGATATCAAATTATAGTATAGTATAGTTAGTTAAGTGCTGTTTAGTGACATCGAAGTGGGGGACGTTATTATAATTGGAAAAGATCGACGTGTACCGGCAGATGTCGTGCTTTTACGCACAACAGAACGATCAGGGGCATGTTTCATTCGTACCGATCAGTTGGATGGCGAGACTGATTGGAAGTTACGCGTAGCTGTACCATTCACTCAGCATCTTATGAACGAAGCTGTAGGTGACAGCTCGATTTCTCCGAATGATTTTTCATCACATTGGAATTTACTCTTTTACTAGGAAATAATGGAGATCAACTGCGAAATTTACGCAGAGAAGCCACAGAAGGATATCCACGCGTTTGTTGGAACAATCAAAGTAGGAGTCGTCTATTTCTACAGCCTTTTTGTGATTTTTCTCTGAGCTGTGTCTAGTGCTTTATTTTTTGCAGGTCACCACTGAGGATCACGTACAAGACGGATCTTTGAATGTGGAAAACGTCTTATGGGCGAACACAGTTCTTGCAAGTGGCACTGCTGTGGGTATTGTGGTGTACACTGGAAGAGAAACCCGATCTGTGATGAATACCACGTTGCCAGAGAGTAAAGTCGGATTACTCGATTTGGAGGTGAGCCCGTAGGACTCCTGTTTTGCCTCGTATGTTTCTGTTTTTATTTTTTCCTGTTTGAGGTCAACAATTTGACAAAATTGTTGTTTGTCTTTGTGATGGTGTTAGCATCGGTAATGGTTGTCATGAAAGGAGTGGATACTAATTGGTACCGTTACCTCATGCGTTTTGTATTGCTGTTTTCATATATAATTCCAATATCACTGCGCGTAAATCTCGACATGGCCAAGGTAGGTCTGCTTTTATACTACTTGGTACAATTAATTTCTCTGAAGCTCCGCAGTTTTTCCAGCTGTTCTTTGCTTGGCAAATAGGACGTGATAAGCAGATTCCTGATACGGTCGTGCGATCTTCGACAATTCCTGAAGAACTCGGTAGAATTTCGTTTCTGCTTTCTGACAAGACTGGCACACTCACTAAGAACGAAATGCATTTCAAGAAGGTTCGATCGCATGGAAATTTTAATGGGTATGCCCTTTCTGAGAAATTTGTTTCTTTAGATTCACCTTGGTACGGTAGCATTCACTTCCGATGCATTTGAAGAAGTGGCGCAGCACGTAGCTAGTGCTTATTCTGGACGATTAGCCAGGTGTTCTATTAATCTTTGATTTCATTTGATGCAGTTGTCCAACAAGACAAGGCGTGTTTCTGCTAACATAATGAAATAACTTGCTAAAAGTCAAGCAAGATGGAAACATCTGCAAGGAGAAAATCGTCTCATTTCTCAGTCTCATTTCTTATCTGAATGTGTAATAACAAGGTGAAACTCCGAAAGTTTATTCCAAAAAGCAAAAAGAAATACACCAAAAGCTCGAAAGTTTCTTGAGATGTATCTTATCTTGCGATATTTTGGTGCGTAGCACCTTCATCATGTATGAAATCATTGAGCTCGTTTTTACTTGGATATGCACCTTCTACAGAACTACAAGTAGCACGAACTCCTCTCCCCTGAACCACTAACCCCGTTGTCCTGAAAGGTAGGATATTTCGGGACAACAACGGGGTAAGTGGTTAAGTGGAGAGGACTCTACTTGTAAATCTGTAGGTTCATATCCAAGTGAAAACAAGCTAAATAAGTTCAAACCTGGTGCTACGCACCGAAATATCGCAAGATAAGATATATGTCAAGAAACTTTCGAGGCTTTCGATGTCTTTCGAGTTTTTTGGAATGAATTTTGGAGTTTCACATGTTATTATACGTTCTAAACACTGTAAGAAGCCTATGAATACTGGCTCATGCCAAAATATCTAATGCCGAAGTGCTTCAACCCACAGGATCGAAACAACAGGCTACTTTCTCGTGACTAAAATCGGCCTTTTTTTCGATCGAAGACCATCCAGCCCGGATCTGAATCCTTCAATCTTGTATGCGTAGGGAGTGATGAATCAAGAGACAAACGTCAATTTCTGTACCTTTGTGGAGCAAACAAACTAACAACTTGAAGTGCAGTGGTAGTGCATTAGCAGAGATGAGTTGTAGCATTTTTTTAATGGCGCGGTAATTTTACGCCATCTTGCATATGTAGAAATGATGAAATGCTTCATTGAAGCGAAGTCTGTTCGGCTTGACATGATCCATGTTTTTTTTCTTAGTATTTTATAGGAAAGAACATATTTTGTCTTCTTCTTTCATCCAAATTCATGAAACTTTTTGTGTTGCTTGCAATGTCTAATTAAGATCTAAGTTATCATCTGCTGTTGTCACACATCGTTTCCTTTCTATTTCACACAACGATTTACCTTCTGAGGCCGCGTTCATAGCTTGCGATCATGAAGAAATGCAGAAATGAAGAAATGCGCAATCTGCGGAAATGACGAAAAGCATTGTATACATATCGGTTTGAAGAAATGCAGAAATCCCGAAACTGCAGAAGTGTGGAATCTGCAGAAATGAAAACGCAGAAATGCGGAAACTGCAGATGAGCCAAAAGTGCGGAAGTGCGGAATCTTCAGAAATGACGAAAAGCAACCGATACGTATCGATTTTCCGCACTTTCTGCATTCCTGCAGGTTCCGCACATCTTCATTTTCGGCATTTCTGCATTTCTTCAAATCGATACGTATCTATTGTTTTTCATCATTTCTGCAGATTCCGCACTTTCCGCACTTCTGCAGTTTCCGCATTTCTGCATTTCTTCACGGTCGCTAGCTGAGCGCGGCCTAACTGCCTTGCAGAACTGATTCACGACAGTTTTCAATACAAATGTAATTGACATGGATTATAGTAATCGTTTTGACGACCTTACAGGCATTCGTTTTCTGCCAAGTTGCAGACGGCTGTGGAGGCTATCGCACTCTGTCATAACGTGACACCAATCGTAGAGGGTGGCAGTGTATCCTACCAAGCGGCTAGCCCAGATGAGGTAACTTGTCCCACGAAGAATAGGTTGCACGTCTTCTTTTTAAAGATTTTATGTCTGAATAATGTTTAATTGAATATTTTTTGTGTATACCGCAATAGTTTGCCCTGAAATGAACACAAGCAAAGCTACAAATTGCTCATTACCCAGTTAAAGGCAGTTGGGCACGATCAATCCCTAAGACAAGTAGGACGAAAACGCCTGGCAGGATGGGATTCAGCGATCCCGAGCAGGTGCTGTAGCGCCTTTTTCAAGGAAGTTATCCTCAAAAGGCCCTTTCAGCACACCGGGCGCTCGCCCGCCCACTAATGGACGACACGTGATGCTTGTATTGCTTCCTTTGTGAAGTAGAATATGAAGCGACGATTGATATAAAGCGGCCGCGGTGCTGCATGGACACGTATGGGTACATACGTGCAGCCGTACTTACCGCAGCGGTCACTGGAAAGTTACCTAAACTGTCAGAAATTGCTTTTAGAATAATTGAGAACGAAGACTTTTCTTCGCAGGTTTTTGACCGCTTCACTCCCTTTTTTCGCCATTTTCTCACTACATAGCGCCCTGCCAGCATTTCAGGCCGAGTACCAAGTTATCATGCCAACTGCCTTTAAATATTCTGATATGATGCAAGGTGTGCGTAGCAGGGGACTGAACTTTGATCAATTAACTTAATGTCTACGTCGGTTGTACAGGTTGCTCTTGTGAAATGGACGGAAACGGTTGGAGTACGACTAGCTCAGCGCGATTTGCACTCCATACAGCTCCAGCTTGGTATCGGACAAACGAGGCAATTTCAAGTTGGTTCGATCATAATCAAGAAGATTGTGTTTCTTTAGTCTTTGGTGGTTTATTATGGCGCATATACTGACCATTATTTTTTATTTAGTGTTCTGAATACTGGGGCACGACTTATGTAAAGTGTTAGACACAACTTTTACTCCATGTTACAGTGAGCTTAACAAATAGTGGTTGTGGTAACTGAAAACATCCCTCTGCTGCTACTGCCAGGGCTTAAATTCTTATGTTTTTTTTGCTCGATGGATTTTATGTGACCCTGGATGATTTTGTTGATTTTACCTTTAAGACTTGCGGGTCGTTCAAACGCATTCGTGGTAAAGAGAGACTATCTGATGGTATGTGTAAAATGCACCTTTCAAATTTTGCTCTGGAGTTGAAGATTGATTACTTCCGAAGTTTTGTTTATGTGCCTAATATACTTGCAGGATTTGTCTACCTGGGATTACTGTTTACTTGGTTTAATTCTTTTATCTCAATTGCTCTTTTTTTTCTGTTCTGCTGCTCTAATTCGGTGCTTTCAGATTCTTCACATTTTTCCTTTCACCAGTGAGACAAAACGTATGGGAATAATTGTGAAGGTACTTCTACTGTTGGTGAAAGTGTTCTATTGTTTGTTCCACGTTGCGTTTTGATTCGATCATGTTCATTTTTTTTCTGTCCTTCCCTTTCTTGAGCGCATGCAGTTCTTGCTATCATTGTTTCTTATTCTTCATGGTTTAGGAGTTTTATGTTTTTTTTATTGAAAACCTTTGTGTATGTAGAAATAACAAACAAACATATTTCCTTTCAAGGACGAAACCACAGACGAGATTTCACTTTTGATGAAAGGTGCTGACACAGTGATGTCGGGAATGGTTCAGTATAACGATTGGCTAGAAGAGGAATGTAGCAATATGGCTCGCGAAGGTATGATAGGTAAAAGAAAAAAAATTCTGAGTGTTTCATTTCAACTGGTCTTTTAGGTCTTCGTACCCTAGTTGTAGCCAAACGTGTCCTTTCTCCAGCAGAATTAGAGGCGTTTGATCGTGCATACCACGCTGCCAAAATGTCCATAACGGATAGATCTCAAACGATGCAAAACTGTGTAAATCGAATGCTTGAGAAGGACCTTCAACTACTCTGCCTTACTGGAGTTGAAGATCGACTACAGGTTGTCTATAAATGCTCCCCGAAGACTAATATTGATGCCTCGCCGTTGAAATAGATCTTAACTGAGGCTTCACAAATCAGGGCTTTGAATCTCTGGGTCTCCATGATTTTCATAATTTTTCGCTGTCTTCCAGGACCAAGTGACAACATCGCTGGAACTTCTTCGAAATGCTGGTATAAAGATCTGGATGTTGACAGGTGATAAGCTCGAGACCGCCATCTGTATAGCGAAGTCTAGCGGGTTGTTCTCAAGAACAGATAATGTGCACGTTTTTGGATCAGTACAAAATAGGACAGAAGCTCACAACGAACTCAATGCCCTAAGGAGGTTTTTGCATCAAAGCATTCCGTCGACAATTTTTTTTACGTTTTCATTACCTTTTTTTAGAAAGAGTGATGTTGCTCTAGTAATGCAAGGGTCCGCTCTCAACGTCTGTTTGCAATACTATGAAGCCGAGGTTTGATTTCTTCTTTATTTGTATGGTGCTGATTGCTCCATTTAGTCCCATAACTCATTCCATCACACGAGATTGGCGTTCCCTATTAAACAAAGTACAGGGGGGCCAAAAAAAGACTTTTCTTCCTCGACTTTCGAGGCGCTATAAGTTACACTTTATCAAATTATTATCGGACATTTATACAACCATATAAAAGAGCATATCAAATACTATCATGATACTCCGCCAAAGCCTTCTGGAGGAGCGCCATCGAGAGATTCTGCCACACGACTATCAGTGGGTGCGTGAGTTCAGCGAGATCGTTGATTTCTCCGCCACTGTAGACCACCCTATTGAACTCCGCCCGAGCCAGGTAATTGAGGGGGCGTAGGTCAGGTAACCTGCTTAGAGATTCCACCTTCTGCAAGTACTCAACGCCCTTCCATTACAAGTAAGCAAGAGTTTCTCCAACGCCCTTCGATTTCATGTGATGGCACTCAATGCTGTAGCAGTACAAAGTTTCCAAAAAGGTACGGGCGACCGCATGTAAGGAGGATATTCTTCACGAGTTGCCCAATGTAACCGCCAGCGCTCACCTTTAGTCCGGGGCCCACGAAGAATATACCGGTCTCTCCATTCCAGGTACGTCCGGTCCCCACCATCATCTTGGCGACTGAGGTGAAGATGATGTCTTAGACCGCAGCGACGTTGTCGGAGCTGTTCAACTATGGAGGTTTTCCAGATCGAGAGTACTGCTCTCCAGGTAGCTATTTATGGGTGACTCCATACTTGAAGTTTCGCAGCTGTTCGGAGATGACAAATTCCGAAGGTCTTCTCCAGGTTGCGGCTGAAGATGACTCATATTTTGGTGTACATGAAGGTGATGGGCGAGCGCCAGCTCCTGCTTATCGAAAGAACATCTTGGGTATCCTCCGACCTGTAGCTCGTATCCCACGTTCTAGTCCTGGGCTGCGAAAATTTTGCTGATATGTGACTTGGGCGAAATGTCTTTTTTTTGCCCCCCCCCCTGTACATCAGCTGGAGAGGCTTTCAAATTAAGAACGTCTTGCCATTAGGTTGCCGAGCTGGTGTGCGCGTGTACAGCTGTTGTGTGTTGTCGATGTTCTCCTGAGCAGAAGGCGCAGATTGTTCAACTTTTACGAAAGTATCGCTCTCCTCTTCGAGTAGCTGCTATTGGCGACGGAGGAAATGACGTGAGTATGATACAGGCTGCTCACGCTGGAATAGGAATAGATGCTAATGAAGGTGAGTGTAAATTATTGTCATCCATATTTCAAAGCGGCTCAGCAATGATTTAATTGTTCTGCATCGAGCAGTGTTACAGCTTTCTTTATTCCTGTCCAATTAAGGGAAACAAGCCTCGTTGGCTGCTGATTTCTCCATAACTCAGTTTTCCCATGTGTGTCGGCTTCTTCTTGTACATGGTCGATTCTGCTACAAGAGATCCTGTGCACTCTCTCAATTCGTCATGCACAGGTAAATATTCATGCTTGTCGTAATCCCGCATCATGTTTACAAGGACTTTGTTCCTGGCATTTCATCGTTCTCTCCTGCCTCGTGTTCGGAATTATTGACCATGACTTGAATCATTTTAGGGGTCTCATTATTTCTACAATGCAGGCTATATTTTCATGCGTTTTCTACTTTGCCTCGGTTTCCCTCTATCAAGGAGTGCTAATGGTCGCGTAAGTTTCAGTGCTTGTGTGGATCCTTCGATTCTCTCATGCGCCTCCTAAACATTTTTCGGCCATGATTCATAAAGGGTCCTTGGTTATTGAGAATTCCTTTTGCAGATACTCTACAGCGTACACAATGCTTCCGGTTTTCTCCTTGGTTGTTGACCGTGATGTGACCGCCACGAATGCTCTCACATATCCCGAACTGTACAAAGAACTAGGAAAAGGGAGGTCGCTGTCGTATAAAACGTTTTGTATATGGGTAATGATCAGTCTATACCAAGGTATGTTTGCTGACTTATTTCTCCCAGGCAACTTAATTACAATTACTACCATTGAAGGAGCCGTAATAATGTACGGAGCACTGTTAGTGTTCGATGCAGATTTCATACATGTTGTTTCGATTTCCTTCTCTGCGCTTATCGTTACGGAACTCATCATGGTTGCTATGACTGTCCATACTTGGCACTGGGCTATGCTACTCGCGCAGGTACTGCTTGCCAAAGCTCACAGAATACTCTTTGAAGCTATTCACATCTCTAATGTTGCAGGCTTTGTCCCTGGGACTTTATGCAATTTCGCTCATCGTACTTGATCAATATTTCGACAGGCAATTCGTCCTTTCATGGATATTTATTTCAAAGACGACAGCCATAACAGCGGTGTCTTGTTTGCCATTATATGTTGTTAAAGCACTCCGAAGAAAGTTCTCTCCCCCGTCCTACGCCAAAGTAAACTAGTGACAACCATTTATGAGAAACTGTACTAGTTGCTCTACATAGAATTTCATTCTGAATTTCATTAATTCTCCACGGTATCCACAATAATTACTTCAAGGATTGAGGTGGTCGTAGCTCTCAATGCTCCTATCCTCTTATTCCTGTAATTTTCTATTTGTATACCTTTCAAATGTCTTATTACTCAAACATCCATAAGTGAAGTAGACGTCCGAGAGCCTGATTCATTGCTCACGTCATAGTTGGTGTGATTACAGCGGACCCATTCATTCATTCGTTCATCATTTGTATTTTTCACATTGTCTGATATCTGAAACGCTTGCCCTTTTGCTGAATGCTACCCACTAGTATTTAGAAACATTTTAAAACTACATTTGCATATTTGCTATCTCACACCCCTTTATCGGCTGCTACTCTTGAATACAACTGCCTGCTGGCCACTTTCGTGCCGAATTTGAACTGAAGGGAAGCTAGCTGCGTGTTTCTGAGAGGATTAAGTGTACTGTCTGACCGCGCAACCAAGACTGGTAAGACTACATGAATATCACAGTTGTAGTGTACCATTATAATGGTGAAAACAAAGGTTTCCTGAGCCTGCTAATCCGCTAAAAATAGCACCGTGACAGGGTTACTTGGGGACGACTTGACTGCAGGGCACATCGCTGTTGGGAAATCTCCAATAACGGCGTCGTATTTGGCCGACAGGAGAGGGAGAGTCGTATTTGGGTTGGGAAAAATTTATTTTGATAGTTGATTTTTCTCGCTTCACGGACGTTGTAAAGGCGGGGGGGGGTCTACTTGGTCATTGTTGGGAGGGGAGGCGGATCGTACACCCCCCCCCTTCCAAAAAAAGGTGGGTTTCGTACAGACTCGACCAAAATCCCCAACCAGTGATGTGCCCTGCCTGAATGAATGTTAAGCAGCTGTCACATAAGTTTCTGTTCCCTCCTTACTGCTGCCGAGATAAACCAAATATACATGGTGCCGCCCCCGTGTTTCTTTGTTGATTGCCTAAGGTCCTCATCTATAAGGGCTGAGAGAAACCAGTATGCACTTAGTCTTTCAACTCTTTTCATACATTCATTATTTCTTAAAATCGTTCCATTCGGGTGACTTTGTGCGCAGCTGTTCACTCTGTAGAGAAGATGCAACCTGTCTTATGTACATTTAACCTTGGTTGGGTGATATTTTGATTGTGCTTTAGATATTTACTGTGTGTTCTTTCTGTGATTTCGTCTGCGGCTTCTTATCTCGTCTTCTCTTTAGAACATCTTTTCAAAAGAAAAATATTTGTATGGTTTAAATACGGTGGGTGTGTGAATGTGCAAATTTGTAGATATCTTCTACCCAGCGGCTCGATTTTTCTTCATTGACTCGTCCTTCCAGTAGCAACGTAATTTAATAAAGATAAACTACGAATCATTTTTGTTTTGCCAGGTTGACGACCAGTGTACCTGCCTTTTATCAAATCACCTTTTATCACTTCGTACGTGAAACGGATAAGGGGTTTTTTATTTGGTAGAGTCGATTACGACTGTCGGATGCTGACTACCACAGCCGTTGTTCGCCGAGTTGTTCTTCTGAAGTGATCTTAAGACACCTGCGTTTTCAAATCGTAGGCAAAACATTTTGTAGATGCTATTCGGCTTACCACTGAAAAAAAGGGCAAAAGGAGCAGTCGAAAACGCCCCATACAAGAGCGGGATGTTCTCCACCATTGGAGGAATATGCGGCAAGTAGAAAGACGCAGGGCCACTAGCGACAGGTGTAAGGCACAAAGTTGCGCATTTGGCGACAGCGGAAAAACGAAAAACGCAAACAGAGCCAAGCAGCAGTCGCAGTTCGTGTTTCTCTGTACTCGATTTGGTGAGATTTCTGAAAATTACGAACTCGTGATTGATAATCCACGCTTGCCAACCATTGAAAGTGGCAGATTTTTTTTGTAGTGCCGGACCTGTGCTCCTTAGACACTTCAAGTATGCGCTCACTTGAACGAAAATGAGGAGCGTAGCTTTGGTAGCATGTGGAACTCCATGTGCGCCTTTTGACCGACTCATTATAAAAGAATTGCGTTCTTCGGCTCCAACACGAAGACGAGTAAAGTGTTTGCAACGTTTCCGCCTCTTACAAAGCATCACCGTCTGTTGTTCTACAATATATAAACGGCGACGTCTGTCTGTCTGTCTGTCTGTCCGGAAATTCGGAACTACCTGAAGAGCCAGTCTCAGGGGGCAGGTCAAGGTTGGGATGGGTAGGGCATGGGCCAAGATGTACGGAACACACGTGAACTAGGCCAAGCCCGGCCCACTGTGGGCGGCGCGTGCGCATAGTTGTGAGCTTCATATTTCAAAAATTCGTAGTTCGGTTCCAAAAGAGCCCCGAGAGCGGAGAAAAGTGGCACGATAGGCAATCAGTTCGCGGACGAATCACTGAAACAAACCCATTCTGTGCAGGGCGTTCTGTAGGTAAGCGGTGCCTGCTACGAAAATTTCAAAAATTCGAGGTTGGGTTCCAAAAAAGCTCGGAGAGTGGGAGAAGTGGCAAACGATAGGCAATCAGTTGGCGGACGAAATTAATGAAGCACACCCCTGATGGGCGGAGCGTTCGCCGAAGTGGACGATGCCGAGGACAAAACCCTCGAAACGCATCCGAAAAACCCCACGAAATGGGGAGTGAGCTGAAACTAAGCAATGGTATGGCAAATGAACATAGTGAGGGGATAATCGTAGGGAGTTTACCAAATGGTTGGTACCGTCTGCAATAGTTTGCAAAGCCGCATAGAAAATTTTGATGACTGTCTACAAGGGGAAGGGTTATATACTAGAAGTGAATATACCGTATTCTTGCTCGTTCGTTTCTCAGTCCTTCGTTTCGCGGCTTGTTTGCGGAATTATATTACCACAAGGATTTCTGCTGCATCTTCACGTTAATCTGAACTACTAGGTCATCATCACCACCGTTGTACCCTCCCACCAACAGAAATCTTTCAAGCTTTTTTTTTCTCTAATCTTTAGTTAGTTTCGTCCTTGGTTTATTGTCCTTGTTCTCCTTTCGTTTCTTGTTTTTTGTTCCTTTTTATCGGACGTAAGAGATGAGGTGAGAGATGTAAGTGGTCTTCCCACTAAGGGTACTTCACGCCCTTTATCTAGATCATGCCCCTCATCTTTACATGCCTCACTACCTTGCCAATGATTACCTTCTGCTCTTATACCATTATCCATTATGTCGGTTCCACGTGGGATGTTGGCATACCCGTGTTCCGAAGTTCCGACATTATGCCTTCAATTCTATCGGTTGGAGGACACCATGGCCAACTGGTGAGGATACTGGTTAACAACTGGCGTTTCTGTCCGTTTTCGGCCTAGATCTTTACCAAGAGGCTTGTGTGAACACATAGACACAGGGGCTATTCCGATTCAATTCTACTCCGACCTAATTCTCCTTATGTATTCTAGGCACTAGGCGCGCTTCTTCTTCTTCTTACAAGGGAGGTGTTTCAGGTCATGCCGCGCTTTTTGGAAATGGTTTGTTGGCTTAGTTGTAGGGTTCCATACAAGGGTCACAAAAATGGGTTTCATTTTTGCTATGCGTTTCTGGGTAGGTCAAAAACTGAGTGAAAAGAATTTGGCAGGAATGGGCGGTTTTAATAACGTTAATGCTCCCGCTCCGTTCTGCTTGTAACTTCGAGCATGCTTTTTGTTCGTTAATTAGGACTCGAAAATAGATTTGAATGAAGCAAAATGTAAGAATCATGTAGTGACACTCTTGCCATGCACCAGCGCAAGGGCGCTGTTTCGTGAGCGGGCCTTTCACGACCACTGCCGTCAGGTCGAATGGCGCAGCGGATAACACGACGTATTCTGGATGGCACGGCAAAGGGGCACTTTTGGATCGGATGCTTCTCGCGGAAAATGTTTTGCATTTTTCAGCTTTCCATTCATTCGCGTGTCTGTGTGTCTGGCAGTAGAAAATAAGTCAAGTATATGCCATTTGAAGGCATATACTTGTGGCCACATTGTGCCTAGAAAGCGTGCTTGTGCTGCCCTCGTAGTTCATGTCAGAAGGGTTGTTGCAATGAAATACCATCACATTTATGTTCAGCGGGTTGGATTACCCCGGGGACTAATTTCTAGCCAAGTCTGACGTTTCGACCCTACTTGGAAAATGTGGGCCATTCTATGGACGTTTGGCAGCAGGCGGGGTCCACCCACCATGGATGACTGGTCTTGGATGGTATTTTCTACCGGTAATCAGGAAAATGATGCAGGCAACTCATACAAGTGAGCCAGGTATTGTTCTTTGCGAAAAAGACATGACTGAAGGTTATTCAGTGCAAAGACCAGAACCTCGGATTTCCTCAAGCTGGAGTTTCTGGGGGTTCGCACGGAGAGAGCTGTGAGTCGCGCTACAGGTGCAAATTCACTGCGCCAGCCCACCCGCAAGAAGAAAAACAGCGAAGGAAAACTTATATAAGTCCGCTCAGAGAAATCGTTCCGCAAATTTTAAAGGTAGTTTCGAGTTCACTGTGTCAAGACGAGTGCAATGATATGCACTCACTGCAAATGGCCAGGCTGTCTATTGCGCTTTGCTGGATGACACTTACAAACCAGCACATTTCTGTGGAGAACCTTGTTCCGGAAATGTTCACGTCTCTTGCGTTGATACAGATGAAAACTGCTGCCGTAATGAGGATCCGAACCGAGTCCCGCATTCGATACAGAACCCATCGTGCTATCCGCTACGTCATCTCATCCCCAAGCAATGGTCATGAAGGAAGCGCTGACAAAAACACCACTCTTGCGTCGGTGCATGCCAAGTGTGTTACCACATGATACTTACGTTTTGACTTTAATCAAACCTATTTTGAGCCTAATTAGTGACCACCTCATAAACTATGCATGCTCGAAGTTACAAGCAGAAAGGAGCCCATTAAGTTGTTTAAATCCGCCCATTCTTGTCAAATTCTTTTCACTGAATTTTTGACCTACCAGACAGAACGCATAGCAAAAATGAAACCCATTTTGTGACCCTTGTATGGATCCCTATAACAAGCAACAAAACCATTTCCAAAAAGCGCGTCATGACCTGAAAACATCTCCCTTGTTAGTGTGTATTTTGACCACCTAACATCTCCATCCTGCTACCTTGCAATCTGCTCCTTCTTGGTATTCTCTTTATGGCGCACATCATCTGAGTGTATGAAATAAATAAATAAATAAAATAAATAAATAAAAAAAAATATAAATATAAATATAAATAAATAAATAATAAATAAAAATATAGTTTCATTCCCAATGGGTGGTGAAGGCCGGTCGGGGACATTGGTGGTTAATGAAAGATAACAACCAATCAGATCTGCCAGGCGACGTAACTGTGGAAATAAAGATGAATTTGTCGAACTTTTCATGCTGAGAACGGGGTGATTGCACGGGATGATTGCACTTCAAAAGCACTTCCAGCACGTCATTGTTTCTATCACACTTTTTTAGTTCTCTCCTTAAAAAGGTCGTAGCCTCCGATGGGAGTCTGTTTGACTATTGCTTGCTATCTCATTACTTTCTCGCCGTCAGCAGCATTATTCTGCCGGTTCATCGCTAAGGATTCTCTTCGAATTATTCTCTTTGTCCTAGGGTAAGTGATTTCGCCACAATAAATCATGCGAAGGCAGTTTTTGTGGAATACGGATTTTCAGTGCCTTTCTCTGGTTAGCATCATTACTTCTATGCTCCTTCATTTGGTTAGCAATGTCCATGGTGTGGGATGCCCTTCCTCTTGCTGTAGCATGCTCAATAATATTACAAGATGCAGCACGAGTTTTCTATTTCTGGCTGCTGAAGAAAGCACAAAGGTTCGTTCAATAAGGTCAATGAGTATTGTATGTTTCGTCGTGAGAAGTAAGAGTTATAATATCTCAATTGAAAACGAGTAAAAACGAACTGTTTGCTTGTTGATTCTTTTCTCTTCAATTGAGATGATTGAGCTTCTTTATGAATTCCACGTTTCTATTCCTTACTAAAAACAAAAGGCTTTTTTGAAGAGGCCTCAACAAGATCACTGCTCCCGGTGCGTCTTCAATAGCTCCGGGTGTTTCAGACCTCCATAACGCTAGACACATGCTCGCTTTGGTGAGTTTTGAAGGCATTGATCTCACAATCATGTTTAAGCTGTTTGCATTGAAGGTGTGCGGTCTTGGCATGGGTGTGATGGCCGCCCTGTTCTTAACTATGAACGTGTTCGCTGAATTTGCTGGTCCGGGTACAATTGGTCTTCCACGAGCTCTCAAAGTGCGTGATTTTGTCCTTTCTAGCTTTGTAATCAAGCAAGTAATTTGTTCAGGAAAATAAACGCGACAAATATTACGCTGGACCCTATCTCCCGCTCTACTACGCTCTAACAGGGTGCTTAGCTAGCTTGTTTGGCGTAGTGTGGACAATAATGGTGAGATTTATGAGTAAAACCTTTTTGAGGACTTTTGGGAGCGTTCCATCCATGTTATTCAGTATGAAATAAGGTTTTTCCAACTGTTCAGTCTGGTACGTTTTTTCGTGTGGATGGAAGTAAAGTGCATAGCACATGGTAGGTACGAGCTGTAACTCGCAAAGTTTAGATTTGGGACTCTTGCCATAGAGTACAAAGAGGAAGACTATGGGCACTCCCTGCATTGGTGGCGACCTGTTCACATTTCATCGTCAGCGGAATGGTGAGCATTCTTGGCTGCTATGATGCAGTGACTACTTAATCACTACCCGCGAATTACTGTCTGGCTTCCTCCACTGTTCTCTTACCGAGAGCTCTTTTTTTCATGGCCCCTCTGCTCCTTTCATGATCGCAGTCATTCTGTTGAGCATGAAATTATTTCAGGTTACTTCTTTTGTTGATTCACATCATTCATTTCGAATCATGGTTTTTATTCCTCCCTACTTGGTTTACAGTTCTAAATTAGTTGCGTTCTAGTTATATAGTTCATCACAACTAGAGAAACGGAATAATAGAAAGTACTGACATTGTTGCTCCCGTAAAAGCCTATCAACGAAAAAGAAGCTGGAGGCGCAGTTCGAAAACAAACATCAGTTGTTCCATCAGGATGAACGCCTCCTCCTCTGCCCCCTTTCTTCATCACCCCACTTCGCCTTCAACGCGCTCATCATTGGTAGCCACTGACTAATGGAAACAGGATTTCTCACCACCATGATAGCCGTTCTTTAAATGTTCTGTGCTTTCTCAGTTACTGTTCTGTGGCGGACTCCACTGTGTTGGAGGCCAATAATTTTGAGTGCAATGGCTATATACCAAAACACTTAATGATTTATTTTCAGAGCTGGTTCAACTCCGAAGGCTACCAACCATTTGTCCTATGCGCTCAGTTCATCCTACTCATTGGATGTATATTATATTCACAGATCATTATGGGTGCAACATTCGATTCAATAGTTGAAGGTACGTCGTATTGTTAGATTAATGTAGTTTTTGAACAGCCGAAGCTTTACTGCCCGTCTTCTACTGGATTCTGTGTTTCCTGAACCTTGAAAGTTGTTTTGTCTTGCTCTTTGTTGTGAAGGTTGATACAGTTGAAATTGAATTATTTTTTTATTTATTTGTGCGTAGTGCCAGCCGACAAAAATCAGTGGTCACGAGAGAGAACTATTTAGTTAAGACCTTCGAGTCAACATCAAGTCAAAAACGTCAGTCTAATCCAGTCAACCAAACACAATTGAGAAACATGCTTCAGGAGGTTGGTGAGGTAATGAGGTGCGCATCACACAAATCGTCTCGAGCGATGCATGACAAGATGACAGGAAACCTATCCCTCGAATAAGCCGGGGGTGGGGACGGGGAATCTTGAAAGAGTAAATGTTGCTAGGAATAACCCCTTATGACAAAGGCCTCAGGGAATTCCTTCACACCTGGAGCTAGATTTCCAGATTTAAAGTATTTACATATCCTGGCCTCTAGTCGTCTAAAGTTCGTGTGAAACCTGTGCAACCACCAATTTGAAATCTCGCTGTCTTGATTCTTTACATGCAAATGAACAAGGCGCGAACACAACACGTTTTCTAAGGGCAAGTCAATCGAAACATCAATGTTGGATTGCTTGAATGATTGGTCTAAAGCTTTAGATGAAAAGAAAAACGTTGATGTGGTTTATTTTGATTTTAGCAAGGCATTTGACAGGTTGCCACATGACGTTCTCATCCGTAAACTAAACCACTATGGAGTCTCCCCCTTAGTGGTCAATTGGATTAAGAACTTTCTTGAATATAGGACATTTCAAGTTCAGGTGGGGGAAGCTGTTTCTAAAGTGCGGTGGGCTTGCAGTGGAGTACCACAGGGAGGGGTCCTCTCTCCAGTATTATTCAACATTTTCACTGCTGATCTTCCTCATCTGCTTCAAGGTACTTGGAGTACCTGTAACATCTATGCCGATGATATCAAAATTTACAAGGTTGTTACGGACTCAGAATGTGACCCGTCACTTCAGCTCGCAATAGACAGGATTGTTGTAAATTGGGCTGACTGCAATGGTCTTCTCTTGTCATCGGAAAAAAAAACACAGTCATGCGTTTGGGGGCTCACACTTGCGAACCACACTATTCTGCCGATAAAGCTGCATTGAAGACGGTGGCGGAAGTTAGGGATCTCGGATTCCACTATGACAGTAAAACTGAGTTTCAGAAAGCATTTTAAAATATTGGTGGTAAAAGGTATGGCAGAACGTTCAACTTATTCAAAGCCCTACGGACAAAGGATCCAGGCATTTTGTTACGTTCCTATAAGCTTTATGTTCGCCCTATCCTGGGAATGTGGTACAACGGTATTTAACCCCTGCATCAAAAAAGATATTCAAGCGCTGGAATCTGTTCAAGACACTTTACTCGTAAACTAATGCTTAGATGTACGGGCTACTGTACTACTTAGATATACCTAGAGGTTTTGTGAGGAATACGACGTACGGGCTTAAATCTCTCGAGTGGAGAAGGAAGAGATATGATTTACTGATGGCTTACAAAATATTAAATGGCTTAGTGAAATTGAACGTTGAACAGTTTTTCCAAGTACTGTCTACTAATACAAGAGGAGTTAGTATCAGACTTAGTGCCACGTTTGCTAGGACTCAGTACAGGTCAAGGTTTTTTAGTAATAGAACCTGTACCAACTTCAATTTGCTCTTACGTTCGAATGTGTTCCCCTTAAAGTATTTTACTTTCAAGAGGCGGGTCGGTGATTTCATTTGAGGTGTTTTAGTTACTGTCTGCATATGTGAGCTTAGAAGCAACTTAAGCGGTTTTATCTGAGCTGGTTTTTTCTATGTTTTTGTGTTGTTTTTTTTAACATTTAGTTTTGTCCTGTTTTATGTTCTATGTGCTATCGCACGTCCAATAAATGAAATGAAATGACACACTCAGTCTCCACTTCAGAACAGGTGCAGTTCGAACAGAGAATTGCACAGTTGTATTAGGAAAGACGACGAGTGGGCCATGCCATGACGCTCCTTTTCGTTACCGAAGTTGCAATATAAGTGAACCATCGTGCTATGTTGCCAAGTCTCTCAGCCAACTGTTGTTTAATTGTTCAGTCAGGGATTCCTGTAAATAGCAATTTGAGATTCGATGTATTTGGTCCCGAGAAAAACTGCATTGAAGACCGATAGAAAAGTGCGCTTTCCAAGAATTTCTTAAGAGGAGCTCAACATAGAGTTCCATTGAAATCACACGTTCATACTGTGCAGAGTACTGGATCACCTGAACCAGGCTTATTTTAGCGAACGAAAATTCCTTTGTGCTATCAAAAATCCTATTGGATTAAGCGAATTCAATTTTTGCGTTATTGGCGAATCATTTGGTTGGACCATGAGTAATAGTGTTTTTTCTTACACAATTTATAATATAAAGAGCGTGAATTATTCCCGCTGTGTTCTACGCTGTTGGACAGATAATTCTGCACTCAATAAGATAGAACAACTGCCTTACAAACTTTACATGGTTTCTGTCGATTTTTATTCCATTAAAATGGAGTGTCGGATCGACACAAATTGTGTTTTCGACAACTTTTTGCAATTTATCTCGAATTCAGATGACAGAAAAAGATCAAAACTCTTCATATACTAGGTTGTCCCAAATGTTCTGGGACACTTTCAAACTTTTTTCGAATTAAGTTTATTCCAGTGGGAAGCAATTTTGATCAGCTATATGTATATATGTCACCTTCATTGGTAACTTGTTGCCAGTCAGTACGCAATGTGTGGTTGCCCTGCTTCCAGAAGCCTCTTAGTTCTGTGGCCAGAAAGGCAGCTGGGTCACTTTTGAGGTAGTATCGAAAATCATATTTTTTTTACCAAGAAGATGGCCGCTGTGGGATTAGTTTAGATGGCGATCGGAAAGACCTAAGTCAGGGCTACACGAAGACTGTGGTGCAATTCCGCAGCTAAGCTTCGGGATCTCGAGCAGTATCGTTTTCCAAATGTTTTTTACCCTGAGGTGTGGTGGAGCAGGCAAACATTGCTCGGTTTTGGGACCAAATGGTAGAGATTTTCCACCCCACTTTGCAGTTGATTACAATAGGGCTCCCTGGTTACCATAGCGTTGGAAGGAGGGAAAGCCTTCGAGAGCGGAGGAAGGTACCCCACTACATACACAGCCTCACCGCCCTACTGGATTGGTAGGATTGCGCGATTGGTTTTGAGTTAAAAGAGAATAGGTGATAATGTGGGTGATGACCCGTTTGTTTCTTGACAGTCACAAACAAATCCAAAATCTTTTATTGATCTCTTACCAAAAAAAATATAACAGCAATGCGAATAGTGAAACAGCGAATATTGAACAACAGTTGACTGAGTATCCGTGTAGAATAGGGGTCGAAGATGGGGGCAGCAGCTTGAAGATCGTCGGAGCGAGGGGGGGGGGGTGATGGCACTTAGTAGACTCGAAGACGACGAAGAGGTCGAATACCTTGAAGAAGACCTCCCTAACTTGGTCGCAGCCCTTTTATATCGGCTACTTTCGCGCTCTTTTTGCCGCGCGCTCGATTGACTCCCTTTGATCACCGCGTGATCACTATTTGACATGCCGGGGGGCAAAACAAAGACATGGCTCCACTCCATGTTATGGCGAGAAACTTCGCATACAAAAAAAACTACTAAAGCTCCTGCAACTTGTTTGCTGCTGCCCTCATCTTATCTCTTAAGCGGCAAGCTGCTCGCTTCCTATGTTTCCGGTTCCCCGGACCAGAGGGCAAACCCCTTGAAGCGGCCGGCTCACCGGGCCCCTTCCTCCTCTGCGCTCTAAACGGGGTTAGCTTTAAATTTTCCAGCTCTAACATAGGCTCCAGCTGGCTTCGCAGGAACTTGTAGAAGATTTGAGTGGCGTCTTCGCTCATCCAGTCCTCCGCATTCTTCAGCACTCCCACCGCGGCCCACGCCGCGTGGGTATCAACTACCCCCACGGTCTGCTGCAAAACATCTATTATGAGCTGTGCGTGCTCCGGCCTACCCGAGATATACGTGAGTAGGTGACTTCTCATCTTTAGCGTTACGTGCTCCCAACTCACTACGTTCGTAGTCCGCGGTCCGTTCACGATGAATACCCTCGTTCCACAGGTCGCCCACAACTCGATGGCCGACATAACAGCAAGCCACGCGGTGACCTTACGAGGCTCCTCAGGGGGCATGACTAACACCACGGCCCCCAAGTCGTCGGTGAAAAGGTGGTCCATCTTAGTCCTGATCGACGAGAAGTCCAGGTAATAGAATACACGAGTGCGCGAGCCACCCGTCATCCACGCCATTCGCCGAAGAACCACGGGTACGACGAGAAGAATGCGATTGTGGACCCTAGCCATCGACGAGCTCAAGTCTAACTCTTTTAAATCCACTTTTCGGGCGGTCAACCAGCCTAACTCGAAAAATCTCTTTGGCA